AAACATGGCAAGAGCCCCACCTGTTTATACTAGAAGGGACGAGGCTCCTGTAAGAACTGAGCTTAACTAGGAAAATCTTCCTGACTACAGGCACCGCGCAGGTGCAGAGCCCATATGTGTGATGCACAAAGAACACGAAGAATGAGTTTATTAATTTCTAAAAACTGCAAGTCTAAGCGGTCTTGATCAGAAAAGCTCATCCTCTGTGGAAGAGGCAACTGAAATGTCTATTATGATGGTAGTTCCTTTGGAAAAAGTGTGGAGCTTCTCATTATTTTTTTAAGTAAAGAAAAATGCCTACCAAGATTAGATTCATCTTTTGGGGAGAGAGATTAGAAGGATTTTTGGTTTTGGAGTGGGTGCTGAGCTTACCATAAAGAAGAAATGGCCAAGGTTCTTTCCTCCTTTTTAATAACAGCAGCAGCAGGAGGAAAAACAAAAAAAACAACAACATCCTTTGCTGTCTGCTGTGTTTTCACAGAGAATCTTGGAAAGAAGACAGTTCTGTTCACCATTCCTTTTTCAGTTACTACTTCCAAGTATTTTAAAGGATCATGAATTCCAACTAGACAAGAGTCACATTGATTTTGCATTCTATTATCTGGCACTCCCGAAGGAGCTGTAGCCTACCACCTGAACCATGGTGGAGGTGAAGGTGGGACTTCCAGCCCAGATGCCATCCTGCAGCCTACTCAGAGGCCCCCTACGGGGTGTCTGTACTGCTCCTGCTTGGATGTTGCCACCTCATCACCACAGACCAACCAACAGACAGGACTGGGCAGGCCTGCCTGCCTCGGTCTGCTGTAACTTGCTCTTCCATACACCATTTTGCTGGCCCTTGCTGGTGGCAGCAGCAGGGGTCAAGCTCTCAGGAAGAGCTGCACTGCACCTGCAGTGCAGAGGAAACGGCAGTGGGGATGGGACATGTAGGCTGAGATGTCATCAGTATGCTGATGACACTCAGGTTTTTTTAATCTGAGGCAGGTGTCCCGAATCGGGCTTTGTCATTGATAATGGATTGGATGAGAGGCAATAAACTGAAACTTAATCCAGGCAAGACAGAGATATTGTTGGTAGGGGGAGCTTGTGTTCAGATGGGGTTGTAATCCCCCCAAAGAAAGGGTTTGTAGCTTGGGGATGCTCCTGGATCCTGAATTATTGCTGGAATTCCAGGTAGATTTGGTGGCCAGGATCATCTTTTATCAGCTAAATAAAGTTGATATATCAGCTGCAGCCCTACTGGACAGAGAGGTCCTAGCAACAGTTACTCGTGTACTGGTAATCTCTTCCCTGGATTGTAATGTGCTTTACAAGGGGCTTCCCTTGAAGACCGTCTGGAAATTTCAATTAGTCCAGACAGGGTGATTGCTGATGAAGACTGGCAGATATGACCCGTCTGCTACCATCTCCACTGGTTGCCAATTAAGATCCGGGCCCAATTCAAGGTGTTAACATTAATGTTTAAAGCCCTAAGTTTGGGGCCAGGGTATCTAAAGGAGCACGTCTTCACATATGAACATACCCGGTCCCTTAGATCAGCATCTGAAGTCCTTCTGAAGGAACCTCCTCAGGAAATAAGGAGGGCCTTTTTGGGAGTGACACCCTGACTTTGGAATAAGCTCTCCAGAGAAGTTTGTCTGGCACCCTCTCTGTGTTCTTTTTGGTGGGAGGTGAAGAGTTTTTTATTTTAGCAGTATAATTGTCAATCTGGTTTTAATGGTGTGTACTTAATATAGAATGTGATATGCCTTTTATGTAATCACAGGTTCTGTTGTGTTAGGGTGTGCTTTTTATTATTATTTGATCAAGTATTTGCATTGTGTTTTTAATATTTTATGTTGGTTTTTATATACTTTTATTGTCTGTGTGCCTAATGGGTGGGCTAGAAATCAAATAATAAATAAGTGAAGTCTGCACCTGAACACATAATACAAAATGAAGACTAGCCATTAAAATAGCTTGGGAAAAGCACATGTCAGGCTTTTTCAGGCTAGTTACAGGGAGCTGAAACATTGCGTGGTGCCTTAACAAAGACCAGTAATTTTACTGGTAGGAATATATTTAAATCAACTAAAGCGGTCAAATGACCACATAATGCCCATGTATATATATATAAAACGAAATCATTCCTTTCAGTGGACATTCTGAAGCTATATATCTTTGAAACAACAAGCTTGATCAATAACTTACTGGAAGAATTATTTCTTTCTGAGACAGTGAGTGAGTTCTTTCCTCAAATAAAGATGGAGGCTTGTGTGTTGGTGGAAGATCAATCCTGCATTAGAAAATTTACAGTTTAGTAACCACCAATAGTAAGATGAATGAATCAAATTTAGAATATTAGAGTCTGTAAAGATGTTTATTTGATATCTCCTCTGTTGTAGTAGTGCAATTTCACACTAACTTGTTTATAGAAACATCCCACTGTGCCAAAATTATTCTCAAATGGTATAACTAAAGAAAAAAAACTCAACAGATATGTCATATAAAAAAATCTGAAGAACATCAGACAACATGCATCATATAAATGGAACAATTCATGAAATCTGGGACACTTTTACTCCATTCACATCAGAGATAAAGTGAACAGGCTCAGTTTTTTAAGCTTTTAAACAACTCAAAATATAAACTTGATTGTATTAAATATTTCCCTAGTCCAACCAAGTCTGGACAGGAGTCCACATAGCAAGGTATTTCAGTAGTAGCCAGTGGTGCTTATAGTTGTTTTAACTGCACACTGAGATCCCCCTTTCATCTTTCTCAGTAATCATACTTTGGCTCAGTTGCTTATCTTCCTTAGTCTTTGTTCTATGAGATGATATGCTGCACAGCAGGAGTGAACCAACAGTAATGAATCCCATAATAGTTTCCTATAGGTGGTTGTACCAGCTGTTGGACTTGCTTACTGCTTATACACACCTGGAAGCTTCTCATTATGTGAAACCTTTGTCACAAGGTGACAAAGATATGGGTCTAGATATCATGTAATCTAGACCCATGATTATCAATCAATTAATCTTCTGCTTCGACTGCAGAAAAGTCATAATACAGTAAGACTGAGTAAAACTTTGACCCACACAGCATGTATAATCATCACTAGTTATGATGTGATAGTCAAGACAAAATGGTAGATTTAGAAAACTATTAGAGAATTAAGAGAAGTGCTATGGTTTGTTAAATTTACCCATCTGTTTATTGTACATGAATACTATCATGAGGTGAGAGTTTTTTCCAGTTGCAATCAACATTTGCACCAGACAATTAGTTTTTACTACTAGTGTTATAATTGCACTGCTTAGGGAGATATATATTCTTTGAATTCTGATGAAAGCAACATTCTTAGATATATATTTTATAATAACCTATGTTGACACATCTTATTACTAGTTCAGGAACTGTGTCTCGAAACACAGCAGAACAGCAGAAATTTAGGAGAAAATGAAAGGAAAATGAATACTAGAGTTGAGCTTTACAAAGCAAAGATTTCATTCAATTTAAGGCAAAAACAAAAAACAAACAAACAAACAAACAAACAAAAAACCCAAAAGCACAACTTACATTTTATCCAGGTAAGAAGACCTTTTCTTTCTGGGAGTTAGCAGTACTGTCACAAAGATGGTAATGATAAAGAGAGCAAGTACAGCTCCTATTACAGCTCCAGCTACAGCTACTGATGATGACTGTTTAAATGGAACATCTGCAATTTAATTCAGCATGCATTATAATTTCAAGCAATGTTATTAAAACTCTTTTCAGATTTTGGAAACAAAACTCTTGTTGACTCCTAATTGACTCCTAATAAGAATATATTTTGTGGAATCTACAGTTTAGTATCTCCTCTGTGCTTGTGTTGTTGACACCTACAAAACTCTAGAAATGATTATATGAGGTACTATTTGAATATGTAGTTGTACGCTTCTAGAAAGGAAGACAACATATGATGACAAGAAAATGCTTTTCGTTTCCTGATTCACAAGATACTGACAGTTTGAGATAATTGCTGTTAAACTTTTCTGGAAAAGTATTTTTTTAAAAAGCAAGAGTTTGTATTTTGATCTCTAACCAGAACAACTTTTAAGACTGCATAAGGAAAATGAATGCAAGTTTCACTGAAAGTTTTCTTTTAGAAGTTATCCAAAGTTTTAAGAAAGCAAGTTATTTAAGCGGTACTTACCAAAACACAATTTCTTTATTCAGCATCCCTGAGACATATCACTAGGTTATGTTTACTGAATATATCTAGTTATTTTAACATATATGCAAGCTGTATCTTTTATACCAAGTGCAGACATGTCTCTGTCCCACATCTGCCTGCCCTCTCTATATATATGAACTAAACTTCTGTATATCTTTGAAGAGCTGCTGAGAAAAGCTGGAAATTATATGGAGTTGCAACTTTCTTTGCTTCATTGTGGTACAACTAGTTGATGTGACAGGGAAGTAAGAGTTACCATTTTATAGGAAAACTATCCACATGATGATCTAAATTAGAATGACTTACACATTGCTTTCAGAACTCCTTTAGGGCACCTTTAGTATTCTTTAGTTTCCTTTTCCCTCTCTTACTATACCTCATAACATTCTGGTGGATGCAAAACTGTTTTACTGAAACAGAAAATTGCCAAATAAAAAGCTTTAGACCATACTGAGAGCAGCAAGGAACAACATCCAAGTACTTTGAAAGGGTAAGACTTTTGGGAGAATTTCTAAGGGCAGATATCCAAAGCTTTAGAAAATTTCAGACCAAGGTCCCAGTACAATTAAAAGGCTAGTCATGTATAAGGGCTAAACGAAACATAATAGCTGTGTTCCAGTTGTGTTCCTGAAATTCATCAACAAAATCTGACTGAGGCCTACATATTCATACAACTGAATTTCTCTGGAAAACCCCAAGTGGTTTCCATATTTATATTTATTTTATGTTTTATTAAACTTCTATACATTCTAGATTTATATAACGTTTATATAGGAATGTGAAATGACTTATATCATTCTCTTTCTGCTGCTCTCAATTTTGGCACAGCAAACATCCTGGCAGGTAGATTAGGCTGAGACTCTGCGACTGTCCCAAAGTCACCCAGTTGACTCCATGGGGCTAGAATCCAGATTGCCTGAGTCCCAGTCCAGTGCTCTTAATCACTATGCCACACTGGATTTCATATTATGAATTAAGTATGGCCTGCCCTTGTTGGTTATGTGGATGTCTTTTCCAATACATTTATCTACTGATCACTCAGCACATCATGCCTGATATAAGTATTGAAAAAAGACTGTACTTTATTATACTTTGGGTACAATTTGCCTCTTCCAAAATCGAGAATGCTATTCCTTAGCTGCTCAGTTTAGCAGCCTATAATATGAATGCATCAATGGTCCAAAAGGTACATGAAGCAAATATACCACTACAATAAACCCAACCAGCCCAGGAAACCGACTGAATGGTAGTCTGCTTGAATTATCATTTGCATGCTCAGTTCTTTTGAAGAAAAATGGGGAACAAATGTAGTCAAGCATTACTAATAAAGAATCATTGTCTGGAGTTTATGTCCGAATAACGGCATTCAAGCCATCAGTTGAACAAGATTTCCTATAAGCAGGTCCAGTTCCACGTAGGAGAATCAATGGTTATACCACAACACCCAAAAATATCTATCCATTTTGCTAAACTGGTAGAACAAATAAATACACTTTGATCATGAGTACACATATGATTCTTTAGACTATAGCTAGGTATTATTTTATCCCCAGTTACTGTAGTTCTGTGAGTTCTTAGCTTCACCCGGTAGTCTGGGGCAGGTGTTTTATGTTATGTTTACTATCTATTTTATTCATGTATGTGAATTAAACTAGTGTTAACTGACAAAGTCTTAAAGAATACATACTTCCAAGTAAGCTATTGATGCTACAGAGGAAATTTTAAACAATGTCTAACTGGTGATTAGACAAACAATGCTTCAAATGTAAACTAATGGATAATTTATACAATTCAACCCATGTATTTTCTTGCATTCCAATTGGTACATATTCAGTAGAATGAATTATCATTTCTCATTCTTCTAATGACAAGTTAATAGTAGGCTCTGATTGAAGTGTTCCAGAATTATGTCTACTAAAATATACAGTCAACAAACATATTTTGTGAACAGTTTACCTCCATACCTTTTACAAAGCAAGGTCAATACTGTTGCCCAAATTTCAAGAAATTTGATGATCAGAAGTAGCATCCTTAATGGTAAGACATACTGTTCAAGTATCCACTTCATTAACGCTAAAGATATACTGTGACAAAGGATTTACACAAGCATTTAGGAATGTCACTGTGAAAGTCTTGGAAGTGGTACTATCCATTTTTGCCCTACACCTGGATTCTATTTGTTGAAGAACTTTAACATCCTATTTGTAGGCCTAGTTATTTGAAAGTTAGACCAACGAACAGTATGCTTCCACAGGGTAACTCATGACTGCCAAATCAGATGTCTTTAAAATGAGTTTATATAAACTCACTGGCTATATCTCATGATGGCTATATATTAACTTGAGTATAGGAGGCTGTATCTCTCAATACCTTTGCTAGGAAAACATGAGAATGCTGTAGCAGTCATGGATTGCTTTTGGGTTTCTTAAGTTTGTGGCAACAAAATGTTGGACTAGAAAGGCCTTTCATTTGATCCAGTAGGGCTTTTCTTACGCTACTAATTTTTCTTGACTTGTAATTATACAATTTATTAATTTTTGTCTATGGCTTACAGACAAATATGGACACTTCAAGAAAGATGAAACAAAGCTTAGTATAGTGGTACCTTGGTTCACAAACGCCTCAGTTCACAACCAAATCGGTTCAAGAAAAAAATTCAGAAAAAATTTGCCTCTGTTCACGAACTCTGCATCAGCTGACGAGCACGATTGTGGCAATGTTCCCACATGAACATGATCGCGGCCATGTTCCCTGCACAAACACGATCGCAGCCATCTTCCCCACACGAGCACGATTGCGCCCATCTTCTCTGCTTGCGTTGCAGACAAACTTGTGGTCACTTGCTGTGAAGCTTTTTTGTGTGCTTTATAGCACATACAGTACTGTAAAGTATTATTCAATAATAATATTGAATAATGGCTCCAAAGAAAATGCAGACCAAGCATGGTGGCAAAAAGAATGTGCAGAGCGGTAGGGAAGGTGACCAGAATGTGGAGATTTTTCACCAAAATTGACCCTGCAGCTAAGAGACAACGAAGAGAGGAAACCCCTGAAAGAGATCTCCCCAGTGTCCTTATGCCCTTATGGAGGGGGACTCTCCCTCCAAACAATAACCTGCCCCACACCTAGGCCAGTGTTCCCTACTGTACTGTGTTACTTTGTTTCAAATTGTTGTGATTAAAAAAGTATTTACAGAACAGATTAACCTTATTTACATTGTACCTTATGGGCAAATCTGACTTGGTTCGTGGCCAAAATCAGTTCACAACCATGCTCGTAGGGGTCAGAACGGATTAACCTTATTTACATTGAACCTTATGGGGGAATTTGACTTGGTTCGCGACTAATTCAGGTCGCAACCAAAATCGTGGAATGAATTAAATTTGTGAGCCAAGGTACCACTGTATAGGAAAAAAGAAGTAACCTTACCACTGAATATCTAAGTTAATATCTAAGTTGTCTAGTTTAATGCACGGTCTTTCTTTAATGACTATCAGCCTTGTTGACCAGTAAGCCATTTGTTAAAAAATTCTGAATGCCCCAATTTAAACTCAGATACTGTACAGAAGTACTTTTTTCCATATTCAGCTGTCTTGTCTAGACTATAACTGTTAATTCAACATTAATGTAGTATTCCAATGTATATGCCTTTCAATCATTTATGCATATAACCTGCATTCAAGAAATTAATTGAACAAAAGATTTATTTCACACAACAGCTATTCATACTTACAACCAGTTCTCTATTTACACCAAGCATACATTATGTAAGAAACACTGCAACACTGAACATCTTAAACCTATTATGAACCTCTTCATATTTAACTGTAAAATCCTTGGTAAATTTAACAAACTTATAATAAGGAACACAGAATATTAGGTAACTGCTTCTAGATTTGAGTGTTACAAGAAAGTTTTTAGAGGGCTTACAGAAAGTATGCCAGTAGATTACAATGGAGATGTTCCTAAGACCACAAGCTTTTTTTTTTTTTTTAAACCTAACAAACAAACAAGGAGGGGGGAACCCAACACCACACAATTTAGTACCTGCTGTCAGCTTAGGGCCTGATCAAAAGTTAACTGAATTAAGCTCTTCAGCTAATGATGAGTCAGATCCATGAAGTAATTATAGAAACTCACTTGAGTTCACAGGCAAGCATGGTTTAATAATTTTACTTCCAAATGCCCTGAAGAGACACTTTGGTCAAGTAAAATGTTACCACCTGAATTATCAATGTGATAATGTATAGAAAATCAGTTTCATGTATTTATAAATACTAAACTGCAGTCACATTTTTGAAGACATAGCAACCAAGTCACAGTGTACCGTCAAAACTGCACCGTAATAAAGATACTGTACTCACTGAAAAGCTTTAAAATACTGTTGATCTTTTTGTAATGTGCTCATATTACTTCAAGATATATAATGGGACACAGCCAAACAGCATTACTCTTGTGTGTACTCATGCTGTCAAATTCATCTAATAGTTTATATGCATTAAACAGAAACAACCCTTCCAATTTGTTGAAACAAACACCTTCAGTTATGAACATGGAGAAAGCCTCCATGGACTTTAATAGGAAACACTTCTATGCAAGTATGCTTTAAACTACTGTTGGGGATCTTATCGGTATTCTCTGCACATGCAATCATATTCATTTTTTTAACCTAGCTATGTAATGTATTTTAAAACAGTACAGTTGCCCCATCTCTTATGTCAAGGGAATTGAAACCTTTTCTTACAATATTTTTAATCTATTCAGCTCTTTAGTATTAAGCTTTTCTGTACCACTACATTTCTTTTAAAGCAGCATACATCTCCCAAAATGCCTTAGAGGAGCTAAACCATTAGCTAGTATATTTTCAGTTTGAGTTGGTATCTACACCTGTCTTGTCACAGTTTTCAGCATTCTCTTTCAAAATAGGCATAGATTTTCAGAGTGACATAAGCTTACAAAACACAGGTTAGCATTACAAATAACGTTTATCTTGCATTTAAAGTTTCCTTCTTTCCTTGTACAGCCCACATACTACTTGATATACCACCATATTCTGTAAGAGGTCAAATATTTCTAAAAATGCATCTTTGACTCAAATATTTAAGTTGTATCTGGGTTTCAGCTCAATGCATTCCTAGCTATGTGCTTAACAAACATTCTGTAAAGTGCTTAGGGAAACCTAGCATTCTCTGAATGTTATTTTTTCCTTTTGGGTTGGGGTAAACCATATATACTGACTCAATATTTAGAAGGGACTCTTCTGAAAACCTAACTAAATCATTTGGAATCTGATATTCCAGTGCTTGGAAATAAAATGCAGTGTTAAAATATACTGTTCCTGTTACGTTGCAAGATTTGTTCATTGAAAAGTCCAATGCAGCAGGCTCAGTGCAACAAGTCACCTGTAGAAGGTACCACCCACTACAGTATCTAATTATGGCAAGGCTCAAAAATGTAGAGGTATCAAATTCTGTGCAGAATACCTAAAAATAAAGCTTTGAAAAAACTGTGCCTTCAGAATATTTCATATCACAAATATTACTTTTTGTAAACAAAATGTGCCTTAGATTAGCTCTGTTTCTGAATCAGCTTCATGTTATCTTTTAGTATAATTATAGGTCAAAAAATTTATCAAGATAATTTTTATCATAAATGTGTAGTCACAAGGAAAGACATTTGCTTAATTTCAAACTTTTTATAACAATTTCATGTTTTCCATTTAGCACTTTGTTCTTATCTTGTGCTATAGGCCATATAAAGCACTATATTAAAATTTGTATCTTGTGAAAGACAGTAGTACAGCATTGAAAAAATCATAAAGCAGCTTCAATACATTTAAATGAGGTTTTTACATTTCATTTGTCAAGTTAGAATATAAAAAGCTTGAAAATCAACTTCAAAAAGCTTATTCTTCAAGAAAAAGTATAAACAATCTGAAAGTGATCACCTAATGAAGGAGCTTTATGTATAGTCAAAACTTGAATGTGGTCATTACACATACCACTCCTTTCGGGATATTACAGAGCCATCTACATGTGAAACTAAGTCATCTTCATTTTCATCGTAACATTCCTCACCCAAGTATTTCATTCCCAGTGTTCCACCTTCATAGTAATCCATTGGTCTTTCATACCTGTCCTGGTACCTGTTAATAGTGTCTACTTTGTTCCAGTCTGTTTTTTCAGATTCTCCCAAGTAGTCTTTAGTTATGTGACTGTTCACAGGATGTTTTATTTCCTTTTTCACACTGTCAGGATAAGAATCCACATCCTCAACTTGGAGGGTATCTATTTGGGACTCCTTTTGCATATCTGATGGTGGAATGTAGTTCTTAGCGAAGTAGTCACCACGGAACGTCCTCCTTCTCCTATACCAGATAATTCCAATCAAGACACATACAAGTATCAGTAAAAGAGCCCCGCCCACTGCACTACCGATGATGGTGCCCCAATTGTCTTCCTGCATTGCTGGCCATGGTGAGGTTGGAAAAAGCCTTAGTTTTGGCTGAGTTGCTAAACCTGTGATGCCATCAGTTGAAGGAAGCCATGGAATCGTGGGTGGTGAGGTGGTAGTAGTAGGAGGATCTAATGAAAGAGCAAAGAGATACACAGACACAGAAAAGGCAGAAAATGTCAATGCAAACTAATTTAGTTAAAAGCTGATAAGAAAGCACAGTTGATGAGTAAGTAAGTGTACTTTAACATAGTTTTTCATTCTTCACTTATTTTCAAGATGATTCAGCTATTCTGGTAGAAAGAACAGACTTAACAGAAATGTACACCTTTTGGACCCCTTACTGAAGTAATAAAAAATAATTTAACAATACAACTCTTTCCATGATGTTTTAAAGCAAACATGGACTAATTCTATCAGCTGAGAAGTACAACCCTTATTTTCCAAGTTAGACTTTAGAAAAATTAAGTGAAATAAATAATGGATAATATAGTATTAGTGGCCTTGCCAAAGAATGAAAAACTATTTAATATATGCCAAAGTTAGCCAAACATGATTTAAACCTCTCCTCCCAAAATGAGGTGGTATGATTCACAGTTTTGTAGTTAAAAATAGGAGTTCATTGTACATTCACTGCTTTTGAAATTCTTCCTAATACTGGAGAAACATTTGACTCTAAAAGTTTAAAAAGACAGTGAAGCAAATCAAAGTGTGTATGTATGCATATGTGTGTGTGTAGATTCTTATTTCAAAACCTGCTTGGTTTTTGGAGATTTGTGAATAGAGCCTAGTGAGCTTTCTAATATTTGAAGCTGAAATTACAGTTCTGCCCTGTTATAGAGGATGTGTACTTTAAAAAATCAAGCAGCATATACACTCTCCTCTCAGAATCAACTCTGCCCAGGTTTGTGAGGAGCTAACCATGAGTAAAATTACACTTGAATTTTGGAAAGTAGTTGTATGTTAGAGGCATGCTACTTGTGACCCTTAAGATGTTTTGGTCTATAACATTCATTAGTCATCATCACTGGCTACACTGGCTGTGCATAGGAGCTGTAAGCAAAAACATCTGGAGTGCTACCAGCTGCTCATCCATGTCTATGTGGATGGTGCACCAGTACCCTAGATCCAAAGAACATGTACACTAGTTCTATGTACCTAGAAATAATTTTTTACTTTTACTTATCAAACTGCTCCCTTTCAGTGCCACATGACAGCTAGCCTGAAACCACGTTGAGTATCTTGTATATGATATGGCCCCGTGGGTCTGTCATTAGTCAGCCTGAAGTAGCTTTTTGCATCCTGGACATTATGAGTACATGGAAGAAATATCATGCATTATATGAAGTATCTCCAAGATTATACAAAAATGAAAAGGTTAGGAAATGCTCAGTTTAAAATAAAGAGTATCTATTTTAGTTAGCTACCGTATATACCGGCATATAAGATTCCCCTTACAACTGGAAAAGGGAGGAAAAATTGGACGGTCATCTTATATGCCAGGTGAATTTTTTCATCATATAGTAAGACTCCCATATCCATGGGGGGTAGGTTCTAAGTCCCTCAGCAGATGCCTGAAACCACAATGAAAAAACAACAAATATCTCTAGCGAAAAAACATAATTATCTGTTTGGGGACACTACACTCTTTATCTCTCTACACTAGCCAGCCTTACTCACATGTTTAGTCTCTCAGTGGAATTGAAGCCTCAAGAGATAGCTGCTTTTAAAGATTTTTTTTTCTAGAAATATATCTGTACATACAGGAGTATTAGAGGACCCTTTAAACTGGAACTAATGAAGCAAAAATGGGGAGGGGGTCATCTTATATGCCTGACATATGACAAACATCAGAAAAATGGCCCAAAAGATCAACCTCACGAGTGACCTTGTACACTGGTATATACGGTAGATTTCATCATATAGTACCTGCAATATAAAAAAACTGGAAGAAGTAGTTAATGAAAATTTAGTATAACATTTAGGCAATTCCTTCAAAGACATCATTAGCTGAGCAAGCAAGACAAAAATCTAAAACAAATTAGTTCAATTAATATGATTAAATTTGAGATGGCTACATTTTGAACATCAATTACATAGCAACTTCCATTTTATAATGGAAGATACAGAAAAATAAGGAGGAGGAGGAGGTGGCAGCAGCTGAAGAAGGGAATCTAGAAGTTTAAATTGCTTCAAAGCACTTGCAGACTACTCAAAAACACTATAATAGAGGCACAGATAATATGCATACCACAAGTGAAGAGATGTAGCACAAAGTCCAGGAAATCACCAGCAAGGTTAACACATACAGTCAAGGAAGCTATTAGGAAAAAGAAAACTTCCTTCAAAAAATGGAAGTCTTGCCCACATGGGGAAAAAAACCAGAACAAAACAACAACAGAAGGGACCACAAGCTTGGGCAACCAGATGCAAGCAGACAATCAGAAAAGCAATGAGATGGTTTGAGGGATGCATTGCTAACATCATCAGGGCCAACAATGAATTTTTTAAATATAACAGAAGAAAGCAGTTAAAGAAGCAGTTGGGCCATTGGATAATAATGAAATTAAAGGAGCATTGCGGTGGGGAGGAGGAGGAGAAGGAGGCTGCATAGAAGCTGAATGTAGATGCATAGCACCTGTTTCTATGCTTTTGTACTCTGGGGAATTATCACAGAAAGTAGTGACAAAAGATGAAGTTCTCTATCTTACCGACAAACTGAAAGGCAGCAAATCACCCAGTCCAGATAGCATCCATCCTAGAGTTCTCAAAGAACTCAAACATGAAATTGCTGACCTTTTAGTTCCTAAAATCAGCTGTTGTATCAAAGAATTGAAGAATAGCTGATGTGATTTCTTTAAAGTGATCTGGGGGGATCTAGGAAATTACAGGTCAGTTAGCTTAACATTTGTTATAGGTAAATTGCTTGAAAGCATTATTAAAGATAGAATCAGTAAGCTCATAGAGGGACAAGCCCTGTTGGAATAAAAATCAGCATAGTTTCCACAAGGGGAAAACTTGTTGCACTAACCTAGTGAAATTTGTTGAGAGTGTCAATAAGCCTTTAGACAGGGGCAATCAGGAAGGCATTGTTTACTTGGACTTCCAAAAGGCTTTTGACCAAGTTCTTAAGCAAAAGCTCCTGAACAAACTAAGTAGTCATGGAATAAAAGGTGCAGGAGAGTCCTCTTATGAATCACTAACTGGGAACAGAAGACAGATTGGGATTAAATGATAACTTCTTCCAATGGAGTGATGTCCAACAGGGTTCTGTGCTAGGACCAATGCTTTCCAATCTATTCATAAATGATCTTGCATTAAGAGTGAGTAGTGAAGTGACCAAGTTTGCTGATGACATCAAATTATTTAGGATGATTTAAACCAAAAGGGACTGTGAGGAGCTCCAAAGGAATCTTTCCAACTGGGAAAATGGGCATCAAAATGACAAATGCAGTTCAATTTAAGCAAGTGTAAAATATACATGTTGGGGCAAAAAAATCCAACTTTAAGTATATGCTGATGCGATCTGAGCTAGCAATGAATGAGCAAGAAAGGAATCTTGGGGAAGTAGTGGACAACTCGATGAAACTGTTGGCCCAGTGCACAGCTGCTGTGAAAAAGGCAAACTGCATGCTAAGCATAATTAAAAACAGAAAAGAATCTTCTAAACTTCTTACTTTCCTTATATAAATTCTTTGGTGTGACCACACTTGGAATATTATGTTCCATTCCGATTGCCTTACCGAAGAAAAGAAATTATTGAGTTGGAAGAAGTACAGAGAAAGGCAACAAAAATGGTCAGGGGGCTGGAGCAGTTCCCCTATGAGCAATGGCTACAACAACTGGGACTGTTTAGTTTAGAAAAAAGGCAAGCTAGAGAAGACATGAAAGAGTTGTTTAAAATAATGCATGGTGTGAAGAAAGTGGAGAAGGAGAAATCTCTCTCTCTCTCTTCCATAATACTAGAACCTGGGGTCATCCCATGAAACTGGTGGAAAGTTTAGGACAGATAAAAAGGATTACTTCTTCATATAATATAAGGTTATAGGATTTGCTACCATGAGAAGTGGCACTGCTGATCAATCTGGATGGCTTTAAAGGGGGATCAGACAGTTTCATGGGGTAGAAGTCCATCAGAGCTCTGATCCAGCATGGCTTTTCTTAATCTATACAGTTTTTTGTAATGTCTTGTTTGCCAATTTAAGGAATTCATTCAGTAGGTTTTACAGAACACCACTGTTAGGATTTTGTCACTTGCCATTACATGATACATTCATCCACTTCCAGGTTAAGTTCTTTATGTGTGTACTTGAGTACACTGAATGAATAAGAGAATACAGAGGAGCTTGTAAACAGAGCTACTACACAGATGTACATAGAGTACTGTTTAGTTAAAAAAAGAAATAAATGAAGCTCACTGATTCACATATAATCTTATAGTTGAAGAAGAGAATAAATCTTCTGCAATGGTTCCAAATAAAAGTATCACCGAGCAACAAAGAACCTGGGCTGTGTGCTGCTGTTGATGCCTTGAAAATTGTACCTTGTGATTAGTGTGTTTTATGTTGTCCAATTGGGAGGTCAGGCATTTTTTCCTCATAATTCACTTTGTTCTATGGGCTACCTGTCAAGACATACACCATGGGCCTTACAAGACAATTAATGGATCTTGTGCTCTAACACCTGAGAGATGTGCACTGCTGGGATAGTGGCTTTTGAGATTTTTCCCATTTCAGGCTGATATAGACAAGCTGGACTGTCTAGAGAAGTAGAAGGACTTAGCAGCTTCCTTTCCTTCCTTTACTCCCTTCTTTGATTCCTAGATCACATCAGAAAGTAGGGAAATTATGGCATCCAAACTTGGAGGGCTACTCTGCAGAAGCTCTATAAAAAGGCTGGCAATTTGAAGAGTGGAAGCTAAAACTAGCTAACACATTTCATCTTCCATCATGGCCCCAGCTTTTTTTTTTTTTCAGTGACCACGTCCAAGAAAAATTATCAGTGTTTGAAGGTACCACAATACTTTTGCTGCTAAGTTGCTGTCCTGGAAGTAGATGATGAAGTGGCTAGATGGAGTCACTGGGGCAGTGGCTGTAGGCTTGGGTGGATTGTGGGGGATGGCGGAGGACAGCAGAGCCTGGAGGAATGTTATCCATGCGGTCATGATGGGTCAGGCATGTCTTTGTGATTGACCAAAAAAACTGGACTATCACAACCCTCTGAAATTTTGTCATGGGTTTCCCTTTAAGTCTTCTTTTACTCTGTTTTCCTGTTTTTCAACAAGTTAACCCATTCCCTCACTTTGCTCCTTCAATCCCACCAATGCAAACATTTCCTTCTTCCCTGAATACTTCTAAGTCTCAACAAAATCAAATACTATGTTTTATACAGTAAGGACATATACACAATTTCGTGAACAAGCTAAAATCCCTTATAACTTTATGCTTTCCTAAATTAAACAGAAAATAACCTAATATTTCATGTAAATTTATGTTTACTGTATGAAGGATTCTGTGAGAATATACAAGGAAAAATGATAAATTTATATATATTTATATGAATATAAAAGAAATTCAGAGAAGATTAAAAGGATCCATTTCATATTGAACTGGGGTGAAGAAAGTGGAAAGAAAAAAGGCAAGGCATTCTGAGCACATCAGAAATATCTGAATTATATATATATCATATTTTGATTTATGCTTCACTTCATCCAAGAAGATAAAGGTGCCATACACATTTTTATTCTAACAATCCTGTAAGGTAGGGTAGGCAGACAATGTGGGAGTGATCCACACATCCCCATTCCCTTTCAACACTAAGCAATGTACAACTAACCAAATTTCTATACAAGTTTCAAGTTCTCTTTCTGTATCTTTATTCTTTGCCAGTACCCTCTTCAATTGCATTATGATTTGATAGTATTTATTATTTTATATTCTACTGTTCAATTCAGCAGAATTCTTCAAGCAGGTTGACCTTGCTTAACATAATATTTAATAATACATTAATGTTAGAAGATGCTTGCTACTCAGTCTAATAGATTGGTGATATAAGCAATTTAAATTGAACAGAAACTTTGATCCTAAGTTCAGAAAGTATTTTATTTCATAGTATGAATGTAATTATATAAGGATTAATAGAAATATTGTCATACGTTTATATATCTAATATAATTTTTGACGTATAAAAGACTTCTAGTCTCAATAACAGTCAGTGATTTATGATTTCACATATTAATTTATTTAGGTGGATATTTATTCCAACCTGTAAGTCAATTTTCATTACAGAAGTCAGAAACACATTATAAACAGATAATTTACTGTGAACAACAAATAAGAACAAGATTATAGTAAAAGGATTTGAGGAAAAGATTGCTGTCCAACACCTAAATAACATCAAGTTAGCGTGGCTTGTAAGCCTGTCCAGGGAGAGGATTCCAAAGTCAAAAAACCAGTACCAAAAAGGTCCTTTCTGAGTCACTATAAAAATCACAGAATCATATTACAGAAAATGAAAGAACAGAATTGGAAGGGGATGAGAAGGCCATCAGGTCTGACCCCCTGCTGTTGCAGGTCACCAAAAGTTGAAAACATGGAAGCTGAATTTAATGCTGAGCTCTGCTTTAACCTTCAGAAACAGTGAGAGGTCAAACATCTACTGTTTAATTCTCAAGTTTATTTGAAAGAATGATGACTGAATTTGCCGTTCCTACCATATAACCAATATAGCACTTTAACTATTGCCATTCACTTTCTTCCTTTATCACCAGACCTACAGTCCTAATTATGAATATAGGATCTTTCATGTTAGGAGTATGAGACTTAAGTCTATGCTTGTCACATGTTTTAAAGATGTAGCAAACATATAGCTGTGAGAAACATGATGAGGTAATTTGGCTCAGCAATATAAATGCTATCTTCTGACTTTCTAGCAAAATTTTTTTTTTAAAAAAATCATGTATTTCAGAGGCTCGCTGAAAACAAAACCCAAGAAGGTTCATCTATTTTGTGATATTTTATCTGCATTATTAAGTGATTTAGCACAGTTTCATTCAATCCACTGTAACCCTGAAATGACATTCTGGCAACTGAGAACATGCCAGGTATGACAAAAGCATATGGCACTCACCCACAGTGCCTTGGCTCAGGGTACTATTATGCCCTAGGTGCTGGCTTTCCATTTGTGGACCAACGAAAAACATGAGGAAGCATCCAGAGAAACAGAACACTATGCCTCTGAATACCAGCCACTGTGGAACAAGAGCAGGAGAGGCCTATTACCTTCATATCCTGCTTGTGGGCTTCACAGAAGCATCTAATTGACCATTTTGGGAAATAAGGTATTGGAATAGCTATGTCTTCAATATGAACCAACAGAGTTCCTCTCAGAGCTGAGAGGGTGAGAAGCTGCTATAAAAGAGCCACTATGTTAACATAGCTATTGGGAATTTTAAGAGTTGTCTCCCTGACAGAGCATTATTGTTGTTTCTGTCTCATATGCAAGGGAAGAATTCAGCATACAGTTTCTTCTTAACTATCCTTTATTATGCAGAATGATGCCAAAGGTGAAGTTACACAGGCTGGAAAACTGACGGAGGGAGCCAGGCTGTGCTGGCGGAGCATATCATCCACAGGCTTGGAACCAATATATTTACTCCTAAGAGTAAATGTTAGAATTTATATTCTATACTTTACCGTTCAATACACATTCTTTACATTGACTTGGTTCATATGACATGACAATTCAATATGGACAAAAACATTATGGGTGGTCACATTGTCCCAACCCAATGAATTTTCCACAGAATGGCTGAATTTTCTTGAATCAAACACCTTGAGAACCCACAACTTGTTGTAGCATTGTTCATACTCATAGAGGGTTGTTGTGTAACTAAACCTGGGATAGCAATTCCAATCTGGATTGTCTGAATCCACTACAGAGCATTTTGGCCAAATTGGCCAAAATCCCAGTGACATTCTTCACAACCTTATCACTGCTGCTTCCAGACTCCTTGACCAATAACTGCTCCCCTCACTAATGCCCAAATGGCACTTGGGGGGAATGTAACTTGTTGCTTCCTATTTTTTTTAAAAAAGCATTGGTGCCTTGAATTACATAAATAAAGTTTTTTATTATTTCTGTTTTGCTTTTCCTTTGCAATTGCACAAAAACACCAATTCACCTGTGTAGGTCAATTGTTTTAGCTGTCAAAGGAGCACCAAAGAAAAGTATGCAACATGCAAGGAAACTGACAAGATTGGGCTGCATATAGGGAACTTTGTGCAAAAGAATCTGGGCAGAAATAGTAGCATGAGGGAAGGAGTGACCCTGTGGTACAATTCAGAAGTTTGGATGAAAAGTGCACCAAAAAACCACTTTCACCTTTAAGGACTGAATGGACTCTGCACATTGTCTTCTCCCTGTCTCAATATTTTGCTCAATCTCCCAGGAGTTCAGAAATAGAAGCTTAACTCCCCTGCTTTTCATGGCTACTTTTCAAATGATTTACTGCTGTGCTTACTGCAATTCAGAAGATGTCTCTGACAGTTAAAACAAAAACTTCAACTCTGAGAAGCAGGTGCATGGGACAAAGTGAATGTGGCTCATGGGGTAGTGGTGTAAATAGTGCTGCCTTGACTCATTCAGTCATCCTCCAGTGTGTTTGCTTTTTGTTTTAATTTGTTGAGAATATCTGCAAAAATATAAAACCTACGGTTTAAATGGAGGGGAAATTTGCACATCTGCAGTATTTGAAAAAGGAGTTATAAAAGGGGAAAAAAAGCCAATATACTCCCCTTCATGGACTGACTGGAGGCTCAGGGAAGTGCTAAATAGGAGAACTCCCACAACTGTAAGCCCAAGCCTCAAAACCCAGTGTTAATTGGGAGATATTGTGACCCTCACATGTGGTGCACTTACTGCTCTCACATTCCCTATTTTGGTGCTTCTGGAATGCACTACTGGGACCTTATTTCTCTTATTATTATTTCTCCCCTGGTCCTTCACAATTGTGTAAAAATATGCAGTCTTTCCTTGCCAATTTCCTTTTATGTTACATTTTGGCATTCCTGTTGCCAGCTTCAACATACAAAAACATTAACCAGAGAAGGCTACACATATTGAACAGCTTAAGTGTCTCCTGCATACTTATGAAAGAATGATGGGAAAACAATAAAAATACAAACACATTTGTGTGCTCCCTAGGCATGGAGGGAAAAATGATGGTAAATGAAAAGGAGCAGTGACTGGGATGGAAAAGAGGTGGAGTGGGAAGACAAGGGAATACATGCCAAAGCCAGGAAAGGACTAAGCGGAAAAGCAGAGGGAGAACAAACTATGGCAAGTCCGATAGCCTGTTGGATAAACCATTCATTGTTTAGTCAACCCTCTGGGGCTTATTTGCAAGATGGCTTAGAGTAGCAAGCAAAATGACACTGTCGTTTATTCTTACATCAATTCTATTACAATCAAGCGCTGAAGACCTAAGGCTTACCAGTTGAATTCATGGCACAATGGATCCCTAATTCAATTCTTCAAATAGTATCTGTTTCTTAGCTATGCTACATCAGCTTCTTTACTTACTATAGAAAATTACCACAAATACCTTGAACGTTAACTATTTAGACATGGAATCACTCTTTCTCAAGGCTAAAATTAGTGTTCCAACTTCCGATTTCAATTGTAACAGTGAAATAATAACAAGTTTTAAATAACATACTAGAATCCGAGTAGGTCATACGAATCACCTACGTTTCCACATTTAGCGAGCAAATCACTGTGTTCTTAAGGGTGAACCAGTTTTATTGTATTGGCTACTACAAAATCAAAACTAGGTTTTTTTAAATCAGTTTATCAGTAAAGGCATATTGATGTAGTTTATTTTTGCTGATTCAAAGCAGATATCAGTAACAGGAAAATAGTTCCATTACACCGCGTGTATGAGAAACCTGGAACTTGATCTCTCAGGCTGATAAATTCAAAAGAAAACCATAAAGTCTATCATAGTAAAGAAGCTATCTCTAATATAATGCAATTTATAAGTTTTTCCTTTGATACTGAAAAATTAAAACCAAAACTTACCTAATATGTAGATAGTCTTTTGATCACTTCTTTGGCCAAGTGAATTGGCCACTTTGCAAACATAAGTTCCAGTATAATTGTAGGTTAATGGACTGCTGAAATGTAGAGTATTATTTAAAGGCTGCAGACCTTCAGGCCAACGTCCATCCAACCTAAATTACAAAGGTGTTAACAGATAGCTTGAATGTTTTAATACAATTTTATTTGAAATCCTAAGAGTTGTACCTCAATGGAGTGAAAATAAGGTCATTTCTACAATGTCTCAGTGGGACAAAAGTGAAATTTGCACTACTACTTTACATAAATGCTGCAGGAAATCAACAGCAATTTATCATGTAACACTGGTTAAATGCAGGATAGCAATTATTCTTTTAAAAAAGCTTCTCAATCTGTCTTGTCTCTCAGTTTCCAAAAAGAATGCTTCAGAATGGGCAACTGGTAAAGTCATAAAGATAGGGAAAGTTATAAAGGAATTCAATCCCAAATCATAACCTTTGGAAATCCTACCACATACTTCGTAAGTATAGGAGTTATAATCATAGCCAGAAGAGGTCATCATGTATTTTTAAATACAACTGGGATACACCACAAACTGAACACAGTCAAACCCCATTATAAGGAGGGATAATCACAATATGTCCCTAAATGTTTCTCAACTAGAGCAAGTTGCTAATTAAGTAAAAAAAAATTGTACTAAATCAGTCAGAATTCAATTCAGAATTCAACAGAAGTATACATGCAATTCTCCATCATGTTCAGCATGGAAATGTACATCTGTATTTGCTAGTCCAGCATACTGAGAAAATCAAGAGGGCAGAGAAAAGATGTGAAAAGTAAGTTCCATTTAACTAAGTGTACTTACCTCTGCCTGTATAGGCTTAGGACTGCATTATTACCATTTTCAATTAACAATATCCATTGCTACACTTGGCACTTGGCTTTTTATAATGTACATAAATGGAAAATAATCTTCAACACTTCCAGTAATGTAAATTATGATGCAGTAGCATGAGTGACCTCTAGTGAAACATCAGTTGTATTTGCTTGCACAGTGGGTTTTCCTGGAAATCCCAGCACACTATCAAATGTTATTGGTGTTGTGATGGACGTCAATAAAGATCATGTAACATGATTTAGGGTAGCAGTAAGTTGAACCCTAAAGCTTCAGTCTTATATCCATCTACCTGGATATAAGTCTCAGTGACTACTCAAGGGCAGTTACTTCTGAATAGCTATGTATAGGTTTGTGCTGTAAGTAATACATGTTTCAGAAAACATTTTACATTCTAATAAAAGTGCAAAGCAAGCCCACTTAGGATCAATAGATTGAGATACAGCTACATTTATTAATGGCAAATAAAATGACTTTTATATTTTAGAAGAGAATGTTAAGGTAGTTGTAACAGGCATAACAGGAAAAGAGGGTCCCCCCATTTAAAGGCTCTATTAAGCATTCTATGGTGCTATATATTTAAATAACCCACAATATTATATTATGGAAATATTATCAATTAATCAACAGCAGCATTGTGTTTAACACTTAACTTCACAATTTGCTACAGCCCCTCACTAAACTTTGAAAGCAGTGCAGATATTTAAGAGGTCATCTTTGAATCTGTTCTACAAAAACAAGATCAGTTGATCACTGTTTTTAAAAAAGCTATGATTTCTAACAAAGCTAGCTACATTTGTTGATAAATTCAGCTTGATAACTGAAAGATTCCTCATCAAAATCCATGTAATTATATTAACTTATTTATAAATTAAATTACTTATAAATCCAGGTGTTTCATTTCCAGTATCATCTTTCAGTTATGATAATAACTCTTTGTTTTTCTGGATCAGACCAAGGGAACATGTACTCCAGAATTCTTTACTGCACAGTGGCCAGCCATATATATACTGGGAGACTGAAATAGTGCTGCTTTGTTTATAATGTCTGTTTATATATATAAACACGAAGGTGACATTTTGTGTTTTTTATGCTTACTCAACCTGGTAACATTCAGGTGTTTTGGACTTCAATTTCTATCAGCTACAGTTGGCATAGCCAATAGTTAAAAATGCTAATAATGGTCATCCAGAGAACTTGGTAGACACCAGGTTGGGGATTATTGTATTCTCTTGAATTCGTCTAATCTTTTTTAAACAGACTGTATGAATTAATATCTACAGCCACATGTTTAGTTAACAAACTTCATACATTCACAAACGTTACTTAAAACAAAGCTAAGGAACCACTATCTCTCCATAACTTATTGAGTCCAACTACCATGGGCTGTAGGCTACATGATTAATGGTCATGGATGATGGAAGTGACAATTTATTTATTTATTTATTTATTAAAACATTTCTATGCCGCCCCATTTGCTGAAGCCTCGGGGCGGCTCACAACATAAATTAAAATACAAGAGATAACAATATAAAATTTAGCAACATTTGGAGGACTACAGGTACTTCCTTCCTGAATTTCATAGACTGACAGGTAAAGAATACATGAGCAGAGTTTTAAAAAGTGAGATTTTAAAAATATTTCAAGATATCTCTATAAATGAAGACCGCTTTTGAACAGCATCAAATTTCAGTAGAAACTTACCGACTCCATGTAAACTCCATTGGTAGTGGATTTGCATCAGCATTACACCTGAGTAAAACATGCTCCCTTCCAATATACCAATTTCCATCATATCCAGTTACTGTAACCTCAGGGGAATCTACAAATATACAAGTATTTAAGCTTACAATACAAGACATTATAAAAGACTACAGAGTTCTCAAACCAAGAATAAGATTTATTTATTTATTTTGATTGTGGCAGCATTAAACATGCTCCCATAAAAAGTTTCATAACTTCAAATTTTTTATACCTACTATCAGTAACTAAACCACCTAGATATAACTGTAAGGTGGAACGCATCTGGATACACTGGAGGCTGCACTGCCTCTGCTGATCCCACTGTGCTCCTGGAACTCACCACTTGTGCAACAAGGCTATAGCGCTTCTAAAAATAGTAAGAGCAGTGACCAGAAACACACAAATCAAAGGAAAACTTCTGTGAATTCTGCTGACCTGCCCTATTCCAGAAGTGTTTTTACCTGTTTGGGGTTAGTTTTGGAAGCACCAAAGTTCCACTGTACAAGCAGTGGTCTTGTGAACACAGACATCCTATTATTCAATACTATACTATTGCAGAGAAGCATAGTATAGTATATTATATAGTGTAACAGCACAGAAACAATGTTTGCTTTCACCAAGAATCAGTCTTAGAGAAATTTGTTAAATAGTGGACAGAGAAGCAAACCTTTGAGGATTCAAGCCATTTCACACTTATTAACTAAATCATTAGGTTCTCTTTATTTGCACATACGATCACATATACAAAAGAAGAATTTGTTAACATATTCCAGCAAGTAAGAATTTAGTGGGAACTATCATGTAGGTTATCAATTAAACTAATGAGCAGCTGGATCAGAACAGGGTTGCCATGCATCCCTTAAAATAGCTATATTATGCACATACAATATCCACAGAATACTTTCTATTCCAAAATAATGCACACTCCTTATTTCAGACTAAAGACATTATTCTGGAACTTTAACATACAAAAAATTAAGTTACACATAAACTTAAATGGTTATTAGCTTATTATGCATAGCATAGACCAGCCTTCCCCAACCTTGTGCCTTCCTGTCATGATTGAACTGCAACACCCAGAATTCCCATTCAATGGACCTGCTGGATAGGAATTTTGGGAGTTGTAGTCAAAATGCTTCTGAAGGCCAACAGGTTGAGGAAGGCTGGCATAGACCATGCATATAGCCAACAATGTTAAAAAGAGTTAGACATGAATAGCAGCCATTAAGTTATCTTGTGTAAGGGTCTTTAAACACTGTCACAGCTGAGTACAAGGTATTTCTAGAAAAAGCCATAATGTTACAGGATAAACACGACAAAACATTGACTCATAAGATGATTTAAGGAAGACCAGAGGCAAGTTCCTTTATGTCATTTCTGCCTTTTCAAAGGAAAGAGGACATGAGCAAAGAAAGTCCTATCAACCTTCCCACTTCTTCACAATTTTCAAGATACTGTTCTTTTTTTCAAATGGAGCTTAAGTATGCAAAACTCAGTGCTTCATCAAGCTTTTCAGTCGGGGGAAATATGCACAAATCACCAATTTCAATGTATTTCAAATTTAATTATTGATTCACATATGGAAGCCAGCTACTTTCTATCCCTTAACAAGGTTTTTTTTAAAAAAATGTTCTAGTGCATTTCAATCAGCTGTTAAGTTCTTACGAAGTGCTTTATACTAAACGGTCTTTAAAAGGTTATTTAAATAATACAAAATACACAAAAATTAGAAAACAAAAATAATATGGGAACAATAAAGCAGCCAACCTAAGAGATAAAAATGCAAGGTAATTATGTACTGCAACAATGCGTGCACTGTTTCCAAGTAATAAGCAACTGCTTTATGCCACAAAAGCAATATTAAAATAACTTAAGAGACTGCGATACCACAGTTTCATATGACTTAATAATGTGTTAAGAGATGGAGGAGACCACCAATTCCTCCATTATCTGGGCTTGAATTCTGACTTCCAGTCAGGAAACTGATCCAGGCCTACTTCTTTCCAGTGGGTTGCAGGCCAATCTGAAAATCTCCACTATGATGAGGAAATGTTTTATCTATTTCTCCTTGTTTTGGAACATGAACATTTTGTTTTTAAAAACATTTTTATAGGGGTCTGTTTCTTTGCACTGAGGTGTCTTTAAAATAAAAAGGTTAAAAAAAAGAAAAGATACACACATATGTCCTATATCTGAGGCCATGATATAAGATGGGGTAGCACTGCTAAGGAACCAAGTTAAACCCCCACCTTCATCTAAAACTTAGACTTAAGTAGATGGTAGTTTTAACTTTCAACCAAATGATCTAGTGGAGTAAAGAAACTACCCTCTGCCAGCTCCTCACTTCAGGTGCATTGGAAAGTCTCAGTCAACGTCCTGTCTAAATGCTATTTTTCTGCCTTTTTAAAAAAGGTTTTTTATGCAGCAGAAAGGGAATCCAGTACGGGGGAAGACTTTTTGCCTACATTTTTTGACTTTCAGATCTTCCAGCACATCTAGGGTTTACTAGAAGATATCACTGACACAAACAGTAGGATGGCTTTACAGTGAATTACAAAAGCCATTCTAAATTCAGTAATACACCTGAGTTTTGGACATATGTAATGGTAGTCTCAGATACAATCAGAATGAAGCCACAGTGATTATGTTCATCATTAATAATTAGGGCTTCAAGGCTGAATTGGCAGATACATTCATGGCTCCTTTAATTAGTGAAAGTCAATTTTAATCAATGAAACTAAGGGACTTTTTAAGTATATGGCTTTTAGCTTTAACAGTAAGTGGCAGTGGCTATTTCTGCTTACTACATTATTGTACATTCTTTAATATTGATATATGAGGCTTGATTTTTAAAGTATTTGTTAAAATCTTTAATTTAGTCAAAAATATTAATGTTCTTTCACTAGCTAATTATGCAACTTCTACACATACGTTACTAGTAGACATTACATATATTTTATTTATTTATTTAGAATATTTATATGTCATCCTGTCACGAAGGCCTCAGGACAGCTCACATAAATAACTAAGAATATAAAACATAATACAAATGAATTTCAGATCCACCCTGGCTGCAAATTAAAACATATATAAACCAATATTAAAAGTTATTAAAATATTGTTGGAATAAAAAGGTCTTAACCTGGCACAGAAAAACAAATAACAATGGCACCAGGCAGACCTCTCTGGGGAGCGCATTCCATAGGTGGGGCACCACCGCAGAGAAAGTCTTCCTCTGGGTACTTTGCCTCCTAATATCTTTCACGGAGGGTTCCCAGAGCATACAACCCTGCTTATAATAAGTAACAACTCTTCAGGATAAGCAAAAGCAGGTTTCTTACCTGTAACTGATGTTCTTCGAGTGGCCATCTGAGCATTCACGGGTGCTGCGCCTGCGCAGTGCCTAGGCCGGAAGATTAGAAAGCTAACGGTTTTGGCAGGAAAACTCTGCTCCCCTCTCCCGCAGTGGTATAAATAGAGCAGAGTGTCCTCCATTTTGCTCAGTCTTGAAGACCGAACGTGCACCCCCTTAAGGCTGGAATGATATTACAATAAGCATCATCACCATCGGTACCCTAAGAACTTAGACACAGTACCGATAAAGAATATTTATTTTATTTTTATTTATTAAAACATTTTTATGCCGCCCCATTCGCCGAAGCCTTGGGGTGGCTTACAACAATAAATAAAAGTAATTATAATATAAATTACAACAAATATAAACATTAAAAATCCAAAAAATACAATATAAAATAAGCCACCCTGGCCAGATAAGATCAAATAATGCTAACAGTTAAAATGCCGCTAAAATAAAAAGGTCTTCGGCTGGCGCCGAAAAGCAAATAACAACGGCGCCAGGCAGACCTCTCTGGGGAGCTCATTCCATAACTTAGGCGCCACCGCAGAGAAAGCCCTCCTCCGAGTACCCACCCTCCTAATTTCTTTTACGGAACCCTTTCACGGAGGGTTCCCGGAGAAGGGCCTCTCCCGCTCATCTCAAGGGGCGGCTGGGCATATATGGATGTAAGCACTCCTTGGATATTTCCACTCACCAACACCGAGAGGGGCTGGCGGGTGGGTTGTGTGAATGCACAGATGACCACTCGAAGAACATCAGTTACAGGTAAGCAACCTGCTTTTCTTCGTCATGGCCTCTGTGCATCACACATATGGGTGATTAGCAAGCTTACCAGACTCGGAAGAGGGAGATGTCGTCGGCGAAGAATAGACGAGAACTGCTTTGCCAAAAGAGCAGTCCTGTCTGGCATGGACATCCAGCTGATAATGCTTGGCAAAAGTACATGGAGCAGCCCATGTTGCCGCTCTGCAGTTACCTTGAAGCGGAACTCCAGCGGCAAAGGCAGATGAAGTCGCTACTACTCGCGTAGAATGACCTGTTGGAAATACAGGTAAGTCTATCTTTGCTAGCTGGTATGCCAAGACGAAAGTTTTGACGATCCATTTTGAAAGTCTCTGAGACGTGACTGGGGACCCTTTGTCATGCTATTAGAATGACAGAAGGATTCTGTACAGGATCTGTAAAAAGCCAAACAGTGTCTAATATCGAGAGTGTGCAGGGACCTCTCAATTGGATTCGAGGGTGATGGAAAAAATGCAGGCAAAACAATCTCTTGGCTCACATGGAACAGTGTAGCCACCTTAGGCAAAAACGAAGAATCCATCTGAAGAACAACCTTTTCTTTATGAAAATTTAGATATGGTTGGTCTATTTGAAGAGCACAAAGTTCACTGACTCTTCGAGCTGATGTGACTGCAATAAGGAGCGCTGTTTTCCAAGACAGTAGATGAAGGTCAACAGTGCCAAAGGTTCAAACGGGGTTTTTCTAAGTGCTTGAAGCACTACAGAAAGACTCCATGTTGGCATAACAGGATGCACAGAAGGATGCAAATTCTGTAATCCTCTAATGAAGCACCGAACCAAAGGTTGAGAAAAAACCGATGAGACTTGTACACTGCCACGATGATGTGCTATGGCAGCTGCATACACCTTAATGGATGATGGTTTAAGTCCCGAATGGTACAGTTGTAGAAGGAAACGCAATATATTCTCTATCAAAG